CTTGTCGTATCTAGACACGTGAGCCATATACAGGCGTCAGGCGTCAGATACCAGAACTCAGCCTCGGACTAGGTACTAACTGTTCCATTTTTCGAAGTGTACGTAAATCAAGCCAATCAGACGTGTACTTTGAAATTTATAGTCCCAGAAGTGGATGATTGAAACCAATTTCAGTGTTTAGTATTTTAATGGTCTTCAAGCTCTGAAATACACACTTTTCATCAATTAAGTAGATGAACAGTATAGTGTACAGTAAACAAGTAATCCTCATAACTGCAGAGACTGCTCTACTGTGGGGACGGGGTAACATTCCTCCCAAGCATAACTTGTTAAGTTTGTGCTCACATTTAGAAGGAGCAGAACCAGAGTAAATAAGTGTTTCATAATTCTGCGGTTCTTGGAAAAGATCGATTAGGACACTGTCATTCGCCAGGGATTTAGATTCACCTCGAACTAGTGACTTGACGCTTATGTGTTCGAGTCTCGCGCGCAAATGAAAATGGATGAGGGGCCAAATTAGTGAGCTCCTCTGAGAAAAATTCATGATAGAAGCACTGGAAGAGAGAGAGAGACACGGAATCGATGGCACGGTGATGGGGATGTGTTCGAATTTGGGCCCTGCAATGAGTGAAAAGTTGTGACTAGCCGTTTTGCGTGGACAAGTTATTTTCATAGCTTGTCTTCCCGGTCATGCGTGACACCGGTGCATTAGCGTAAGGGAGATTAAGACACGGAGGAGAAATATTGAATGCCATTTAGTACCGTAATCGTGGAACGATATCAGAAAGTAATTTCATGGAATACAGACGTACGAGAGATTTTGACGGTATTCAAATCGATTCGATCTTCCAGTCTTCCAAGCATCACAAAGGCACTCAGGTTTGAATTGATCAAAGAACCCTGAGAGACAAGCAAACTGCTGATGATGGAGAAAGCACGGTAAATGTTGTAGGGGGGGGGGATACAATGTAGGGTGGTATCATCGGCAAAAGCATGAATACGATTAAGAGTTTGGGGAGAGGATTGCCGTTGAAGAGGCGTAAAATGGGGAGAAGATGGCGCGAACCGTTGAGGGGTGCCAGAGTTCACCGAGATTGCTCTCGAAATGACCATGCCAATCCGAACCGAGACTGATGATGAGCCGTGCTTGGATTGGAGTCCTTTAGAGGTCTGAGGCGTGTCCATTTCCTTTTGGAGTTTGGACGCTACACTAATTTGGAATGACTAGTGACCTTCAAGTGACCTCCATGACAAACTTGTTCAGTCTCTTTGTTTATTTATCCAGCAGGTACATTTTTATCAATGGCTATGAAGGAGGAGACATTTCTTCTGTCTACTCTGCGGTATATTAGACTGTAGATATTATTTGATTGATGTACGATAACTAATACAAATCGATCAATTGTCAAGGTTAATCAAAAATTCTCCATTGCACTGTTCATCAAGTAATGATCGCAGTTAGAGCGATCACCGTTGCTCGGACTATATCAGTATGCAGCCGAAATATGGTGCTTTTAAAACAATGTTTGAATGCAATCTCTAACATGGGATAACTCTTTGGAGAATTATGGAAAGTGGGTTCAAACGTTTGTAATTGGGATCTAGACAATCCAAAACCGGAAAACAATTGACAGTCTCTCACCTCAGTGTGTTGAGCGGTAGGTAGACAGGAGTAGGCTCCATAGCCACGAAAACCAAATACTCTATGAAGGGAATCGGCAATCCGAGTCCAACAAGACTTAAAGCAAACAGGAGTACAGTGAGAACCAGCGTCGCGTAATAAAGTCTCACATTATTGGAACACAGTTCGGTAGACCAGTCAGAGCCAGACTGCCAATTAGTCTGGATTCATGAAAATCTTTTCCGTAACCCCTAAAAAGGAGGAAACGGTTTTTGGATGTCTTCTGGCCAATGTTCAAAGCATGAGTGACAGAGGGGGAGGTTTGAAGGAATGGTTATATGGGGCGCATTATCATTGAATCCCACCGGTTATGCTGCATGCTTCTATCATCCATACTTGCGCAAGCACACGCACACACATTAACATGAAACCAATATTCCCTCACAAATGTTCCACATGATTTGGGAGGCAGTTGAATTTAATGTCAGATCGGGATTGTAGTAAGACAGCTCGATTATTCTGCAATCGATTACACAAAAATCACGACATAAGTGCCTCTTTTCCATTCGAGGTTGACTATACCGATTTGTTTCCCGATAGTTAAATAAGGGTGGTATGTAGTGCCTCCTGATTGTTCATTCGAATGATTTAATCCTGTAACGATGGCAAAAACACTGAAAATCACGCCATGGTCTCAAACTGTAGGTCATCGACCGAATAGATTTGAGATTTGAGAAAGCTCGCGATTCATGTGTCGGCAGAGAGACAGTACGGGCTACTGATGAAACCAAACAGACCCGAAAGTAACTCACTATAGGACTTGTTCGCGACCGCTGAACCCAAATTCCAGTTACATAAAAGTAATGCACGCAAATCGTGGGGGTGTAGACGACTCGCGAAGCGGTCCACTCCTCAAAACAACGGAAAACTGTGCAAAGTTTCCGGTTCCTGTGCAATGAACTGTACTAATTCGAAAGTGATACCCCATAAGATCTGTTAATTCTTAATCTATTAGACAAAGATCACACTGTCAACATGCATTCTTTGTTTCATTGGAATTCAACCATCTTCTAGCCTAGTTGGACATGTCAGCAACAATCGATGTGATTTCATTGTTTTTCTTGTATTTGATGATCGACTATGTTTTTGTTTGTTCTCATTGGCAGTCATGCACCATAAATTTTTGATAGTGCAACTGAGGCCAATTCAAGGCTGCTGGGGGTTCTCCGACCTGGAACTGTTATTTGTTCCGGTTTCGTAGCCATGTCAGCAGTATCCTCAGTTTGACTTCGGAGAAGCACTAGTTCACAGTGTGGCAGGGATTACGTAATTTGGGAATCTCAGTCTCAGTTGAATCGACGATTAAAGTCAATCCTCATACAGACTTAGCTTAAGTGCATAATTTCTGATTACCTCGTCACAGCTGTTAGCTTTATACTTCTTCCCGTCTACTCCTTCATTTAAATGGGTCACCAAAGATAGCAATAAAATCTGCTTGGCGAATGTGTAAGATCAATAGTTGTTTAAACTGAAACGAAAACGGAACGAGGCATTTCTGGCTGAAGATGAGTGAATGCTCTTAGGATCAGAACCGATGAACAAGTTAGTGTTATATGCCAATCCAATGTGAGTCAACGCGAGACTGCGGTGCGATTTGTGCCCAGGCATTTGGACAAATATCTGGGTGGTTCGCTTATTTATTGAAGTAAAGTGACCAAGAATCAAATGGCTCAGTCCGAATGGTATACAAACTAAAGACGACTTGCAGAATCTCCCCGGTCGGCTTCATTCATTCATGTGTGTGTGTGTGTGTGTGTGTGTGTGTGTGTGTGTGTGTGTGTGTGTGTGCGAAAAGACCGGG